ATCTCAGCGTATGGGATCTCTGCTCTTGCCACCGTAAAAAATTGAATACCGTCCTACTTCTACTTTCTGAATTGGACAAATTAGGCTGCACGATTTTTTTTTTTGGTCGTGGCTCGAGTGCCACGTGGAAGGAAATAGGAGGTGTTTAGTGCTACGGTGGTGAGAACCAGAAAGCCACACGTGTACAGTGAAAAATCAAGGGCAGAGTAGCGGTCTGACCGGGAGATTCGGGCACGACCTGTGGTTGGAGAAACAAAAACCTCGGAACAAGTGCCTACGTTAAAGTAGATGACCCACATCATGCCTTCCGGTTGTTTTGCTCTTTTTTTCACTTTTTTTATTTTAATTATCCATATATCTTTCTCTTCTAAAGAAAATGTTAAATGTATTTGAAATAAATAAATAGCGCTTTATCAGTGATTGCATCATACTTTTGATTTGAACGTCCGTCCAATGTTTTGAGAATTATTCTATAGAATTTATACTTTAAATTATTATTTTTCTATGTTTTAATATTTTATTTTTAATTTGATTGGTATTATTATTAAAAAAACAAAACCAAAAAAATCCAACAAAGAATTAATTCCAAATGAATACGTAAACGGAAAAGTATGGGCACCGTAGTCCGTCACAACCGAACATCAAAGGCCGAAGCCATGGACACCGTCATCATCAATGATAAAAATAAAAGGCCAAAAGGGAGAGTATGGAATGTGTGGTCCCCACTTTCGATGGTTTTCGAATTGTTGGCCCCACCCTTGGAGTTGGAGAGAGAAACGATCCCGAAAACGACAAAATCAAATTGAGATAAAGAAATATTTAAATAACAAATAATAATAATAATTATAAGTGAATGGTGATGACGTTATTTATTATTTTGAGGTATTATTACGGGGTTAATTGAAGTGAGCGATGGATGCCGTGAAATTTATTTGTAAGCAATAATAAATTAGTTTGGAGATAAAATATTTTATTTTTTGGATGCCTTTAAAAAGTTATGTTATTTGAATTTTATTTGTAATTGCAAAATTATAGTATGTTTAAATAATTATTAGTATTCATTGCTCTTATCGGATTTGCTGTAATTAGATGTTTTAATTATATTTTTTAATTTTATAAATTAGTATTGTTTTAAATTTTAAATTTATGTAAATATATAATTATAATTTATATGATTAGGTGTAAATTCATAAATAATTTTTAGGATATATATATATATAAATATTAATAATATAATTTTTAAAATAATATAGATACAAATAAAATTTTAAACATACATAATTAATAAAATAAATAATAACGGAGAAAAATTAAATTTTAACGTAATCATTTACTTATTCTACGGGAATCTACCACTTAATATGACATAAAAATAATATATAAATATTAAAAAAGTAATTACATACAATTAGTCAATTACAATATAATATCCAAATATATATTTAAAATTTAAAAAACCCTTAATGTGTAGTACAAAATACAACCATAAATCATTCTTATTATGCCACTTGTGATCTCAATTAACAAAAATTATTTTTTTTGTAGTTTTTCTTCATACCATCAACACGCTCATAGTAAAACTTGTAAATAACTATTTAAAAAAAATTGATACGAAAAATCTCTTATTTCTGGAAGAGATCTATCTTATCATCATTAATATGATTTATTATATTAATATAATAAGAGACATAGTCAAAATTAAATATTGATAAAGATTAAAATATTAAACTATTTAAGAAAAATATAAAAATTTATTAGGTGTTTAAACTCAAAATTCAGCATGAACCTAGCGACTTTAGTGATAAAGAGATTGTTGTTATCCTTGAAGTCTCGAGTTCAAGCACGTACGTAGGGGTATGAGCGTTTATTGTCAAATAGTTGAAGGTCGTTGTACATATATTAACTTATATTCACCCTAAATTAAAAAAAAACTCAAAAAATAACTTCTAATTTATCTAATATTTAAACTTATAATAACTTAAATTATAACTATACCAAAAATTTGAGAACACAAATTTATCATTCTTTAGTTCGACCCCAATTTGATTAAATTAAGAATTTTTATATTTTTTTTTAATTTAAATATTTATTTTTACATAAATCAAAATACTATTAAATTAAAATTATATTGAATATATAAATTTTAATAGTGCATGTGCATCCCCTTCAACCCTAAGGGGGTGTTTGGTTCAAGGATTGTGGGATTCCCATGGGATGGGAATCCTACATTCCCATGTTTGGTTGGCCGGGAATCTCATTCCCGGTAATGTTTTATTACCAATAGTAGATTTTTTGGATATATTACCGGGAATGTCATTACCTCCCTTCCCTTAGGTATTGTAACATTACCGGCGTTTTGGACTAAAATGCCCTTAAATTTTTATTTTTTTTCAAAAATATCCTTCTTCTGTCATTAAATAATAAAAATTCTACGAATGTTAAATTACAAATTTATCCTTAAATTATTTTAGATTTACAAAAAAATCTATAATTAAATTTTTTTTTATGAAGTTCAGGGGTTAAAAAAATTTACCCTTTTATTAAACATTTTTTATATTTTTAATTTTGTAAAAAAAATTATATAAATATTATAAATTTAATTTTTTAAAGAAAATATATAAATATTTTATAATTTGTAATATTATACAAATATATAATAAGGACAATTTGGTCAAATATACATTCCAATAATCTTTTAGTCCTTTAACCAAACACGGTAATCTTACATTCCTGTTAAACCAACCAAACACAAAATACAATATTCTCAGTAATCATATTCCCTGGTAATCTTTTATTCCCACTGATAATCTTACATTCCGTGAACCAAACGCACCCTAAGGGATATCCTTCCCTGAATATAATAACAATGGAATGCAATTTTCATCAAAATTCAAGATTTTAAAATCTAACGACAAATCAAATTGTGTGGGTCCACGGGAGGCCCCTCTACAATGATTTTAATGACTACTAGTACAACTCACAATGCTTATTTTCACTTTCACATTGTACTCTCATAAACTTTAGACTTTTTCAATTTTGCCCAGAAAAACTTTAAATCCGCTGAACTTCACCTAGTTTTGTGAAAGTAGGGCATGCACATTTTGCCTACTCCCTAAAACGGGACTTATTTGATCATACTCATTTGTCAATATTAAAATACAAAATTCGATTTTTCTCAATTAATTAGGATCATCAATAGATACAAGCTGTAACGGCAATCAAAATAGTCCTATATTTAAGGGACTAAACTTGGCATGCAATCACAGCATGTGACATGATCATGTCATGGCTTAAAAATAATCAATAAGATAATACCATGTTAAGTAATCGTTGCTTGGATTCCAAATATCAACCTACATGCCCCTCCCCCAAGATATTTTGTTCCTTCACCTTCGATCACACCATTGTTTCGATAGGAGCTTGAGACTGAAGGACAATGTATAACGATTGTAGAAACATTGGGTTAAAGCTAATGTCGACAATATCGTGTAACGACTCAAGATACGGATATTAATATAAAAATTAATTATCCGATTGAAGGTGTGTTAAAATTTATTTATTTTATAAATATTGACTAAGTACAAAAAATATAGTATATGTTTAAATATAATTTTCAATTATTTGACAGTAACCGCTCATACATATGGTTTTCTTAGTGTTTGAACACGGGATCTCAGAGAATAATAATAATTTTTTTTACAATCGAAGTCGTTTGATTTTACATCGTTAAAATTTATTGGATTTATGAGTTGAACTTGTTAATTATCTTAAAAATTAAAATAATTTTAAAAAACAAGAGTTCCCCCCCTCCCTAAATCGATTTTAAGAGCATTTTACAAGTTTTTTACCTTTTAACGGGCATTTGGGGAGACCCAGCAGGCAGCATGTTGAGGAAAAGAGGAGCCGAGATCATTGCGGTGTATTCGTTACGTTAACGCGCACTGGACTAGCGTGGTGGTGCCTGCCTCTGATGTTGACGTTACGATCGAATTTGGACGGTAGGGTTTTCTTTTCCAACTTCCATTTCCCTCATCTATCCCTCGTATCGTTTAAAATTAACGCAATCGCCATTCCCTCATCTACCAAATACAAATTTATTATTATTATTTTTTTATTACTATACTTTTTCTTAACTATCTATAAATCTTTCATATTTGCACTAATTAGTAGGCAAATTTCTATAAGATTATTTTGATCATTATATTTATACGAGATAATTTTTTTAAATGTGAATGTTGATGTTGTTAAATAAGTTTGATTGATGTTAAAATATTTTTAATTATTTAATTGATTTTTTGTATTTTCGTTTTAGTTGTTACATTACGTTAAATTATCTTATTAAACATTAATATACATATCCTTAAATTATTTTAATAGGTGAGATATTTTGCACATAATTACAATAATAAATTATTAATTGACTACCTATACTAATTATTTTAGTTGTAATTAAGAGTTAATTTTTAATAATATGAATTGATTATAAGGTAATATATTTCAAAATATTGTTAACGAATAGATGAGATACATATCATACGACTGCTCAAAAATAGATAACACAAACACAACTACTTAAACTTAACTACTCTAAGAAAAACAACAATATTTCAACCATTGAAGTAACTCGATAAAATCAAGAGTTATTTTTTAAAAATTTATTTTTAAAGAAATCAATCATTCTATTTATTATTATTATTATTTATATAAAGATAATTTTAAAAAATATATTTATATCTAAACAGTTGTTCGTTTCAAATTAATTTTCAAAAAACTTTAATTGTTGAAGTTTAATCACATAAAAATTTAAATTTAAAACAACTATTATTAAAAGCTATTTTCCACGAAAAGTTTAGAATTTTTCATAATCCTAATTATTTTTCTAATTATTCCAATGGCATCATGGTAATTTGAGTCTAAACAAAGGGCAATAACCGGAAATAATCTCAAAAACTCGGAGATGCAGTTCTTTTGAGCCAATGGATTCACTTGCACGGACTACTAAAACCGGCCGCTGTTTATAATCTATTTTAGGTTTTATTTATTTATTTTTTCATAAACAAAGAACAAAGCTTTCTCCCCACTATAAAAATCTCCCCTTTAATACCTTCCCCCACTCATCTTCTTCCTTCTCGCCACTCCTCTCTCCCTTTTAACCAGATTCCTTGGGCCAAAGGCTAAACCTTTAATTATTCCATAGGTGATTATAACAAAATGGAGTCTTATGCACCTCCAAGGCGGCCTTGTTTCATCGAAGAAGACGATGGATTGGCTTCACTCCCTGATATGGAGGCCGGATATTCAGGAAGTAATTACCAGAGGGTTAACAAATATGGGTCTTTTTCTAGACCTCTTTTGAAGAACCTCCCTTCTTTTTCTTCCGGTTCGGTCCCTTCTCCGAGGTCAGCCCGGTTCTATGATTCCAGATTTGATGATGTTCAACAACCCCATTTCTTGGATGCTTGTTTCCTCTGCAACAAGCCACTCGGCGGTAACCGTGACATCTTCATGTACAGGTGAATGAATCTTCTAGTTTTAGAATGATCAGGATTTTGTATTAGCCGAATGAATCTTTTAGTTTTAGGCTTAAACAATGGAAATTTTATAGCTTTGGTTGCTGATTTGGTGTTGTTTACAGAGGGGACACGCCTTTCTGCAGTGAAGATTGCAGACAAGAACAAATAGACATGGATGAAGCTAAAGAGAAGAACAAGAACCTGTCTTCCTCCATGAAAGCTATGAGGATGAAGGACCAAAGGAAATCTACATCTGCAAATGATGATCAAGGTTTCCCTTTGAGAACTGGCACTGTTGCAGCTGCCTAAGATCACATCACAAAAGAAATAAAACCATATTTACCATATTATATATAGTTAAACGAGAAGAGAAGAGAAAGGTCATGGAGTTCATCAAAGAAGAAAAGGGTCAACGAGAGAGAGAGAAGAAAGGTTGAAGAAATCTAATCTTGAAGTGGTTTGTTATCTCTTTGAAAGCATACTATATAGTTTTAGCTAATGAATGTTCATATATGAGGACTATGATATGGCTCCTTTTTTGGGTTTTTTTACCTTTAAGAAATATGTGCATCATAAAGAATGATGTGAAGGGAACCTTTTATTTTTACTTTGTTCTATTTCTGTTTCCACTAATGTTTAATGAGAAGAATGACATAAATGGAGCTTGCTCAGAACACTGTTTTGCTTGCTTGATTTTTTTTTTAATTCATTGCTAAGCTTGTTTGTTGTTGCATTGTGTTCACTTTTTGCCTCTAAAAGCTTCTTTAGTAAATTCAGAGATTGTGGGGAAGTTGGAGAAAAAGGAAAACGTAGTTTCTTTTTCTGGTAAAAAGTTTTGCTTCCCACTTCAGAATCGGTGACTTTTGTTGTTGCCCGTCACTGCTGTTCCCACCAAGGGTACCTGGAAACAATGGCTAATTTGCTTATACTCCAAGGCTTCATCTTCAAGCTTCCAATACCGGAAATTAAAGGGAAATTGTTCTTTATATTTTCTTATTTTCCTTTTGGGGTCATTTGTGGCACAATTTTTATTGTTTTTTTCTTGGAATGTTGAAAGAGTAGGTATTTTGGTTAGGTGGTTCAGATTTATAGGGACCATGTCCATAGGATGCCATGCCACTCAAGATTTGTGGGGGGGGGGGGACCGATGAACATCGGTGTTAAGAACTAAAGGGCATAACTCCATAATTGAGAGATTCAAATGGTGGTTGTGGCTGTGATAACAAATATCACGGTCATATAATAACTATCATCGTACAAGGGGTGTTATCAAAAAGTGACTGAAGTAAGTTCAGAGTTTATGACTTGAACTTTATTTAAACGATTTAGAAAAAAATAATGATGCATTTAATAGATAAATAAAATTAGAAAAAATAAATAAATTGTTTTTGTTAGTCGATTTGTATTATAAATTTATATCAAATGAGAGGTATTGTTGCTTAATTTTTTTCTTATTAATTAATAAATCTCATAAATAAAAAACACTTATTGAACTTAGGACTATTTGTTTCCCTATTAATGGAATCATTCAGCGTTGAATGTTAAATCGTTCAGCATTCAGCGCGTTTGTTTCGCACCTCTAAATGATTCAGTGCTAACTAATTCAACACAGAAGTAAATTCTGAATGATTCAGTACAAAAGTACATTCTGAATGATTCAGAGCCATTATTAAACAACATGTCACATTCACAGCTAATTCATATAGAGTATTTGAATCATTCAGCATTTGAATAATTCAGAGCTTAATTATTTTAAAGTAAATAAACAGCCCATTAGTTAATTAAGTATTGGTTTATTCTCAACAAGGCTATTAGTTTGGACGGAAAACACTATTAACAATTTGATTAATTTAACATGATTATCAAAGACTGTTAAAATAGTGATGCACAAGACACCTTTGATAACAGTTCCTATAAGGACTGGGCTTCCATGCGAGAGGTTTAAAGTATTAGAAAACGCAGCTAGAGGAATAATCACTCGTGTATTTGGTTGAGTCGAAATAAGTGAGAATTTTGAGTGGAGTTTATAATTTTTTTATCTTTCGAAAATTTTAAGTTGAATCGAGTTTTGAGTTTATGTTCAAATTTAATTACATTTGTTTATATGTTATGGCATGAATTTATTTAAAATTTAATAATTTTTAATTATATATATTTATATTTTTAGTACGTTTAAATAAAATTTAAATTAATATTTAATAAATTAGATATGATATAAAATTATAAAAATATGTATATAATGCTATTTTTGAAAAGAAATAAACGTGAAGATAAAATATTGGTGAGGGTATAAATGAGTTGACAGGAAGAAATAATTTATAAAAATTATAATTGAAAGATTAAATTGAATAAAATAAAAATTAAGAGATTAAACTAAAAAGAGTTTTTTTTTTTTGTTAAAAGTATAAACTGCACCTAAATCGGTATTCTATTGCTTTAGAAGAGAGTCTGGTTCAATTTTATTAAAAGAAATAAGCTCAAAATGTAAGAGAAATGAAGAAAAAAATTGCAAAAAATTGTTTCTAAAAAATGAAGCTACAAAAATGTTGTACATGATTTAAGAATATGTAGTTCAGATTTAATAAAAAAATAATTTAAAATGAAAGAATAGAAAAATAAATAAATCGATGATTAAATAGTAAAACAATCAAATAGTTTAATTAAAATTAAAACAACTTATTTTAAAATAAATAAACTTGAATCCTTACAAATCCTAAATTCCTAACCCTAATTCTAACCTCCCTTGTCGCCCCTAGCCGCCATCGCCGACGCTGCCCTTATCATCTCTCCGGTCGATCGTCGTCTCCCTTGTCACAGTGCGAGTCGTTGGATCGTCTGGCTATCACGAATTCGGGGGGTTTGAGTTCGTCGAAAATACGATTTTGTATCACAATTTTGTTGTTGCCTTCGTCGAAGATGTGGCATTTTATGGTCAGTTTTGATTTGTCGTTGGGAGAGGTTCTGGTGGAGGTTCAATCGACGTCAAACAATGATAGTCGACGTGGGTTTAGGGACTGAAGTTGAAGTTTTCAAAGTTTTTCAAAAATTTCAGGTTTTTTTATAAAAAAAAATATGTATTTTTTTTTATTTTTAAATAACAATTTAAAAATTTTGAGAACGTGACACGTATCATTTAATGATAGAATTTAACGTCAATTACAATCCAAATACCTAAAATGATAACGTTTATAATATTATACACCTAAATAATTTAAAAAATTAAATAACCTTTTTAAAAATAATATAATTTAAATAGTTATTTTATAATTAAACATTAGAAAAACGTTAGGGGAGATGGTGAGGGTGGAGGGAACGGCGCACAAAATAACAGTTAAAACAGGTAAGACCATCCACGTGGCAAGATGTGTTCGGTGAAAGCGCGTTTCCATTACCCGCCTAAAAATGGAAAGTTAAAAAAAAAACCCATCGTCTTGTGTTTTCTCATATATATTCATATCACATTCCTGATTCCACATCTCATTTACCGCTTACTTCACTCGTTTGTTGAATATGGATGGACTAACCAAGGGTCTCAACGACGTTGTTATCGAAGGTGGTGATGGCCGCTACGGCGAATGCGAGAAACTAGATGAACGCTCCAGATCCAGTTGGGCGCAGGTGGTGTCGGGGGATCATGATAACCAACATCGTCGTCCGTCTCAACGGAGAAAACAGGTTTTCCGTTTAGTATTTAATAAAGTATCTAGTGTTTTCGGATCTGAAATTGAAGTGGTTGTTCAGTGTTTTATTTTTCAAGTTGGAATTTTATTGATTTCGTAGGAGCAGAGTAAAGAGGATGACGAGGGCCGGCAGGTTTCGGGTTCAAGACCTTCTAGGAGACCCCAAAATGTAAATTTTAAAATTTTCATGGACAGTATCCATTAATTAACGTCAGTACTAATAGATTATATTGAATAATTATGTCTGCAAGGATACGTTTATTTTGTGTGCTCTGGTTGACCTCGAATTGATTTTGCATAAAGGAGCACGGAAAGGAGAATAACGATGGATGGGAAACTCTTGGTAGAAAGCCTCGAAGACGACCACATAAGGTGCATTTTTACTCTCTTTTTTTATATGTCAAGTAATGTAGTACACATTTGATGGTTTTACATCAACACATGAACAGCCTCAATGATAAAAAAACGTAATTCTCTAAAAGATTTAAGCTCCAATAACAGTGTATACATTTGGGTTCAAGTAGAAGAAAAAGCAATGTGAGGAGCCTTGTGCACTGGAAATGCCCTTTGATCAACAATGGCATTCGTAAATGGATCCTATTAAACTTGTAGTAAAAGATGCGGAGGCTTTGTGCTACTTTTTAAAATGAGGCCCATAATATATTTATTATAAGATGAAATTCTAAGATATAAAAATTTATCATATTATGATTGATTCTTGCAAAATAAAAAAATTCAAACATATAAAATTAAGTTTTCTCTGTTAAATTTTCTTCACGCATGTGTATGATATAATTTTTTTTTAGGTTAACAGATTTTTAGGCCAACATGACATATCACAAGCTACCCTGGCTAATGCACGGCCTAGATCTTATTTGTTTTAGCTGTAGGGTTGCTGTTTTTTTTAAATCATTGTGTCTAATACCTATGAATGGAACATTTGCAGGTTCATAAGGATCACTGGCAAGGGTATAAACGACTTCCCAATGAGCAACAATATGCCGACGAGGTCGGAACAGGTACTAGCATTGAACCTTCAGAAGAGGAACTTTCTGATTTGTCACAAGCTTGCAACAGGCTGTGGCAACTTGATTTAAACCGTTTGGAACCTGAAAAGGATTACCAGATTGACTGTGGTGAAGAGAAGAAGGTTCACCAGAAGGGAGATATGGCAGAAGACAGCCTATTTTATTCTCTGAGTGAAGACATATTTAGAAGACCTACATTCTCTCGTTTCTGTGCTCTCTTAGATAATTACAACCCTAATGTTGGGTGCAAAGAAGTTGTCACAATTGAGGAGATACAAGAGCAGACTGCTTTCATAGAAGAAATCAGTAGAACTGCACCTATTAAATATCTTTACATGTACCTTTCTTTTAAGGGCATTGTATCTGAAAACTATCAAGATTTCAAAAGAATGTTGACAAAGTTATGGTTTGATCTTTATGGTCGAGGCGGAACATCTGGTTCCTCTTCGGCTTTCGAACATGTTTTCGTTGGAGAAATCAAGCAATGTGGTGGGGAAGAAGTCACTGGCTTCCACAATTGGCTTCAGGTGTGGATTTTAGTGTATTTCTCCCCTACTCTATAGATATTTACTCCTAATCCTACATTTCATCTTCCATTTTTACCAAGAAGAAGCAAAAGGAAGAGTTGATTATCAAGGTTATATATTACCCCGAAGACGAGGGGAAACCGTAAGCCTCTTCGTCTTCGATCTTCGTGTGTTTGATGAATGTTATTATAATCTCGAAGTGGATTTTTTTGGCTCATCTATCTGCATCTACATGTGTCCTTTTGCAGCCAGACTCTGAAACACAGTTGCTTACAATTCAGTTCCAATGGAATGGGGTCCTTAAAGCTGTGTCAACCACATTGATTGGTGTCAGCCCTGAGTTTGAAATTGCTCTCTATACTCTGTGTTTCTTTGGGGGTGAAAAGGATAACCATGTACAGCTCGGTCCATACTCGGTTAACATCAAATGCTACCGGTTCGGGGATAAAATCAGTTCCGTGTTTCCGATAGCATAATGCTTGATTCTCAGCTCTATGTATTACTAGTATTATCAAGAACCCACAGAAACACTAAACACATGTTTGTGTTTCTTGGATCATGTACTTCCAAATTTTGGTAATAATGCATGTATAAAACTTAGGTACATTGCTGGTATGTATTCCCCTATGGCTTAATCTTATGATGAATGAGGAATCAAATTCTGCAATATAGTTTTGAACTTGTGAGCTTCCATGTTTTGAGCATGCTCTTATCGAACAAACATTGATAATGTACCAACGGAAGGCATTGGCCGTATTATCGAACACATGAGAGTGACTCAGTGTTATGCCATTGCAGCTCCTCTTTTCCTTTTTGAAGGAAAAATATCTTAAGCGGCCAATATCAATATTGGACAAAATATCTTTTGAAGGTTCATCAGATATTTCTGGAGGAAGTTCTAAATGGTAACCCTCCTCGCCTCTTCTCTTATCAATGGGAATATCTAGTGTTACACCTACTCCCTTCTTATCAATAGCACGTTTCTAGGTAAATTGTCGGCTTATCAATTTTCCAAAGCAAACTTATCCACCATTTCTCTTAAGTTTAATATTAAAAAAATGTTCAAATTATACATATTTTCTTTTTAGGTGTGCAACCTTTTTTTCTGGTCAATATAAATATTTTTTTTGGATAAATCAGAATTTTATTATCCAAGAACAAAGAACATTTACAACCAATCACCAATCAAAACAAGGAGTATTACAAACAAACAAAAGGACATGATTAAACTATACTCCAAGCATTACAAAGATGGAATTAGTGCAATCAAGTCTATTTATAGTTTTTCCTCTAAGTCTTATACTAACTATTTTGATGATTTCCTTGAGCAAGTTGTCAACTGTTCGAGATCTTCCTTGAAAAAGTCTGCGATTACGTTCTTGCCACAAAAAGTAGATATAAGCATTCCAAGAAATTTTCAGAATAGTGGTAATTAAAGACTTCCCTTTCCACATAGAGCTTGTGTGAGAGACCATTTCTTCCCAAGTCATTGCAGTGAAGTTCATACCATTCAAAAGAATAACATATTTCCATAGTTCAATAGCCAAGGGGCATTGAGAGAACAAGTTATCCCTACTTTCATTGGAAGCCCTGCAGTTGACGCACAGACCAGCAGTGACTAATCCCATGTGTTGCAAGCAATCACAAGTTGGTAACCTGTTTAAGATGGCCATCCAAGTAATCAAACTATGCTTTGGGAGGTGCATAGGGTACCATACTAAACGGTGCCAGTACACTTTTTGACCTTGCAATCTGATTTTCCCCCAAATTTCCCTCGCCTGCTGAATACCAGAAGAAAAAAGAGGGAATGCAGAATTTCTCATTTTGAGAATTCTTTTAACATTCCAGCTGATATTAGACCCAATGTCAAACTGCCAGAAGTTGTGGTCCTTGAATACATAGTTATTTAGCCAAGCAACCCAGAGCGAACCATTTCCAACAAGGATCTTTTTAATAAGGCTCATAATGCAAGCTTTGTTCCAGGTGGTTGTGTTTTTCAGACCTAAGCCTCCTTCAGATTTTAACAGATAGATTTGGTCCCAACTAACTCTTGCTCCAGCAGCTGATTTGTTCGCGCCTTTCCAGAAGAACCTTGAGCATAATTGATCCACTAATTTTAAGACAGTAGCTGGGAGGATTAATTGTCTACACCAGAAATTACTGACACTAAAAAGAACTGATCTAATTAGCTCGAGTCTGCCAGCATAACTTAAGTTTCTTATAGACCAGTGGTGAAGCCTTTGCCTGATTTTATCAAGGAGAGGTTCACAGTCTTTCAGAGAGAGTTTTCGAGTAACAAGAGGTATTCCTAGGTACCTAACAGGCAGGCAACCTGTTTTAAAGCCAGACATGATTTTAAAGTTCTCAATTTCCCTAGGAGAGATACCCGCTGAAAAGATCTCACATTTGGAGGGATTTAAATGAAGTCCAGAAACTTTGTAAAAATGATGGAGGGCACTCAAGACTCCAGCTACTGAATCCTTATTTCCTTTGCAGAAAATCAGTAAATCATCTGCAAATGAGAGATGAGTTAGCCCAATTTTCTTGTATTTTGGGTGAAAAGCAAAGACTCCTTTGGAAGAAGCAACATTTAGCATTTTGGAGAGGACATTCATTGCTAGAACGAAAAGATAAGGGGAAAGAGGATCCCCTTGTCTTATACCTCTGGCCCCTTTGAAATAGCCTATTAAAGTTCCATTAAAATCAATAAAGTACTTGGCTTGAGAGAAACAGATTTGTATCCAGTCAATAAATTTATGAGGAAGATGGAGGCCTTTAAGGATTGCTAATAAGAAATTCCAATGCAAAGAGTCGAAAGCTTTATGAAGATCAATCTTCATTGAGCATCTTGGAGAGATGGATTTCCTACCATATCCTTTCACTATCTCCTGAGCAAGGAGAGTATTATCAATGATATCACGACCTCGGATAAAGGCAGTCTGGTTTAAAGAGATAATATCAGGCATGTATTCAGTCAATCTAGTGACAATGATTTTAGAAATAATCTTGTAGATGACTGAACAGCAGGAAATTGGCCTAAAGTCTTTAACATTGCAAGGATTAGGAACTTTGGGGACAAGAGCAATAATAGTGGAATTGAAAGCAGGGTGAATATAATTATTGCTGAAAAAATAATTTACTGCATTAATGATGTCTTCTCCCACTATTGACCAACAATTCTTAAAGAAAAAAGAAGATAATCTATCCGGACCAGGAGTTTTTTCATTGCCTTGATTAAATAAAGCATTCTTTATTTCTTCAACAGAGGCTTCCTTAACAAGAGAGATAGAAGCTTCAGGGGGAAAAGAAAAGTTAAGGAGTTCTTGAAGAATGGAAGAATCCATATCCTTGACCAAAGGGTCAGCAATGCCAAGTAACTTGTTGTAAAAAGAAGTGACTTCATTAGCCATGGCATCAAAAGTTTCAAGCCTATTACCTCTATCATCAAGAATGACTCTTATAGTATCCCTCTTGTTCTTAGAGGCCACAATGGAATGGAAAAATTTAGAGTTTGTATCTTCTTCTTTAACATATTGGACTTTTGCCTTTTGTTTAAGGAACATTGATTCAACTTCTTCAAGTTTCTTTAACTGTTCTTGAATTTCAAGCTATTTTACAATGGAATCCTCTCCCTTGAGAGTGAGAAGTTGCTGATTTTCCAGCTCAATTCTCTTTAATTTCACACAGTCTGAAATCTTGCTGAAGTTATCTTTGTTGAAATTATTTAGGCAGTCTTTGAGTCTTCTAAGTTTTGAGAATAAAATCATCATAGGATTTCCATGAGCATCTTGAGACCAAGAGTTTCTAACAACATTAAGGAACTGAGGATGAGAAGCCCAAAATTTAAAAAATTTGAAAGGTTTTAGTCTTGTTGAAGGGGACTCTTTTGAAAGCTAGATGATGGCCATACTATGGTCAGAGACACCTGGAGCAAGGAATTCCACAAAGGAGTGATGGAAGAAAGAGTCCCAACAAGGATTTATCAAGATTCTATCAAGTTTTCTTGCAAGAAAAAAATCATGTTGCTTGTTGCTCCAAGTGTATTTAGGCCCAAAGAAAGGATGATCATAGAGGTTAAGCTCATGAGTAAACTCTTGAAAATCATTCATTTCAGGAGAAGAATAAGGGCCTAAAAGTTCATGGATGAACTTTCATGGGAATGCAAAAAAATATTAAAGTCTCCTCCTAAGACCCATGGAGAATGGTTAACAGTAATACTAACATCCTTCAAAGATTGCCACATTTGTCTTCGAGAAATTCCCTCATTACTACCGTATATAGCTGTGATGAAGACATGATTGCCAAAAGCAGAACCTTGAGCTGTGATACATTGGTTAGAAACCTGAATTATTGAAAGATCAATACCCTTCCTCCATGGCATGATCGTAATTTGTGCAAACATTCCAGTTGAAGAGTTTAGAGTTAAGAATAACCTCTGATTTTTCCAGCTTAACTCTTGTCTCCAAAAGACAAAGTACATCCACTTTATTTTAGAAGGCTCTAAGGAGCACTTTATTTTGTTTTAGAGGATTATTAAATCCTCTAATGTTCCAGAAACTAACTATCATTGAGAAGATGCTCCCAATGAACCCTTTTGACTTTCTACAGGGGTTGACTTAGATTTGTCTAGTTGATCTTTCTTTTTCGATTTTAACTCCTTAACCAAGATTGAAACTCTCTTTGCTGCAGCTCTAGGCTTCCTTTGTGGAACATCAATAGTAGGAGATTCCTCAATAGAATTAAGCACTTCGAACCTATTAATGGAGCTTGAGAAAGAGCCCTTTTCCATTTTTAGTTCTTCCTCTACCTCTCTTAGTTGTTACTGTATGAGAAGCCTTTTCACCAACCGGTTCTAAAGTAACCTGGGCAGTAATTGAAGAATTTGCAGAAGGGATATTGGTAATAGGATCTGTCACAGTCTGACAAATTGAATTTTCAGCAGGAAAACTGGGGATTACAGCAGTCTGAGGGGATGAATATTCAATACCAGCAACAGAGCAACTTGGTAAGTCAACAACCTTATCAATGTTATGGGACACATAATCTTCAGAAACAGTAGGAACTGAGTGATCAAAAGAGTTAGGAGGAATGACTTGTGAGGCCTCTTTTTGGACATTACCATCAACTTCAATAAAAACAGTAGTATTAGAAGGTTCCTGTAGAGCTTCTATACCACTTACATGGATTGCTGCCGAATTGGAAGAGGATTCCTTCTTTTTCCAGACTTGGGAAACAGAAGGAATAACAGAAGAATTGTGCAAGCAACCCTTGTCGTTATGACCAAACACCATGCATTTCTTACATGAAGGTGGAATCCAAGGAACCTCAACCTTGATCGAGGTTTTTTGGCCATTTTTAAGTTCAACTTCAATGAATTTTGGGATGAAGTCATTGATTCCTATTTCAATGCAGACTTTCGCAAACTCAAGTCTAGTCTTTGCAGTAGTGATTGTATCCATTGAGAGTGGCACTCCAATGACACTAGAAATGTAACTAAAACCTAATCGAGTAAAGAGTTCTAGAGGAACATTAAAAAGATGAACCCAGACAGGAATTCTTGTTAGGTCAAAATTTAAGGTATTCAAGTTTGGTTCCCATTTACGGAGAATAAGGGTTTTGTTATGAATGTGCCAAGGACCATTATTGAGAACCCAATCTCTAGCATTTACACTATCAAACGA